TGAGCGAAAGCTCAATCAGATATGTTCATGCTGTAGGTAAGAAACCTATCAGTAATTCTTGAAGGGCAATGGTGAGCTGCGGACGAATGGTGGAGATGGGAATGGATACCGCTCACGCAGTTATCTTCCGCAGTAAGTTTAAGAAAAATCATGTATATGTCTATATGATTCAAAGGTTTCAAGTATGTATGTTTAAAAAGTATACGTACATATGTATGTTAAGAAAACCAAGGTTGTAACTAACAACCCTAGTTTTGAGTATTTAAGTTTTAGAACGTTACAGTACATGCAACAAATAAATGAATTTTAAACATGACGATTTAAATGAGTAATTTTAGAAGGACTTTAAGATGTACTTGAATTTAAGATTTCTCACGAAATCCGTTTTAAAGTTAAATGAGATGGCCGATTGAAATGACTAGTTTTAGAAAAGCTTTTAAAGAGTATTTGAAACAAGAGTTCAAATGCTATTCCGTTTGAAGGATATTCCTAAAAGGTTTTATCTTAACTAAAATTAAGAAAAGCTTTAAGAAATTTAGTGATTCACTTATTTGAAATTATTGTTACAAATTATGAAAGTATTCCTTCTTAAATAAAAAAAAAAAAATGTTCCGCATATTTTAAGAAACCCCAGTAAGTACAAGTTAAAAAGTTAGTAACAGTGGCGGCCTCAAAGGAGGGTCGTCACATTCACTTTTCAATTCATTTTAGTTCAACTGGTTTTTATAATCAATTTTGTATTAACGCAGTCCCTGTGGAGACAATACTTTTTACTCACTACTGTATTACTTGTGCGATTGCGTGCACATGCATAGAGCTATTTCCATAAGTTTAACCAATTTTACAGAAGATGTAACTCTTTTATTTTTTATATTAGGAAGATTACATAAGGTATAACTTATTTACCAAATTTTCCGTCAAGGGCATAAATTAAAAGCTGAGAAAACCCTTCTCCTTGAGGCTTTCAACAGTGTCCCTCAGACTCACTTCCAAAGGGGTGAAATTAATTGCCAAACCTTTTGCTTTCTCCTTCGAAATTTGGTAGGTTGGCATGAGAGGTTTGTCATCTTCACATCTGCTTGCCAACAATTGGAAAGCTCAAATGTAATTTTTATATATGATTAGTAAACTTCACTTTTTAAAGATATAATATCCAAGCTAAAATAGTAAAAGTTCGAATCCAGTTTGAGCTTCTCTTGCCAATTAAACCGAAACTTGGCTTTTCTTTAATAACTCAGAAGTTGGTTACTTACTTTTCAGGAATGCTTAGGGTGGGGAAGAGTTGTCTTAAAATGTTAATAACCTCAGAAACGTGCAAAACATGTCCAACTAAACAATATCTTCCACTAGCTGAAACAACTTCAAATGCTTGAATATGTGCCATTCCAACATCTCTAATATCAACAATCATAAAGACTTTATTTGGGAAGGTGTGAGCTGCACCCAAAAAATAAAAAATAAAAATTACATGCATAGATAAATTGTCCTGTATTGACACCATTTTCTATAGTTGTAAAAAAATAAAAAAAAAATAAAAAAAAAAAGGAAAGGAAAACCTGGTGTCTAAAGTAATCGATTAATAGATGTTGAAAATGGAAAGTTATTACAGAAAGGGAAGGAATTTCCACTTTACTCTATCTAATTTGGAGCTTAGTTATTATTATTATTTTTATTTTTTTTAATTTTGGCTATAGAACTAGTTTAGTCAGTTTGAAAAAAACTACGTCGGTTCTTTATATCTTAAACTTACTTGGTCATAAATATTAAAAGGAGTATGTACTAAAGATGTACCGTTAATTTGAGTTAGAATCGTCTTCGCACCGTAATTAAGAGTTGGCTGTAACAAAGGGCCAATAACCATTCCTGGATTTATTACAACCAAATCAATCCCATTTTCCTTTGCAAATTTCCAAGCAGCCTCCTCTGCTAATGTCTTTGAGATAAGATACGGCCCAAACTGTAAGCAAGAAAATTGGTGCAATGTTATGCAAATTACCATATAGTAAACTCAACAGTGACAAATAACTAAGAAGTTTCCAATACATTGGAAACTTGTGCAAGATGATGTACACACCTTTGTTTTCTCACAGATATCTGGATCAGAAAACCATGTCTCGTCAACAACAACATCTGGGATCAATGGTTTCCCGGTAAGCAAAACAGCAGCCATGGAAGATGTTAAAACAACCTTCTTTAGTGAAGGGGCCTTTGTGCATGACCTCAGGACATTTAGTGTTCCCTTCACTGCAGGCTCAACCAGTTCTGCCTGAAATACGGCGAGAAAAGCGATAAATATCGAAGCTCGCGTATAAGTTTCCATGAAAGTTGACATTTATTCTCAATAAAAGGGAGATACTAAATTGTACCATTTCCCAAAGTAGCTTTTTAAATAAAGATAAACTAAATTGTACCATTTCTCAACGGTACATGTTATCCAATTATGAATTGAATTAGGGTCTAACCTGTGGGTCAGTGGGTGAGAGATTAACAGGGGAAGCTGTATGGAAAACACATTCACAGCCATCAACAACAGAATCAAACGATCCTTCTTCCAATAAATTTGCTTTATACAAATGAAGCTTTTCCTTTGCTCCTTCAAGTGACACCAAGTGGTCTGTTTTCTTCGGATCGTCTGTCTCATACACAATCACGTGTGACAACCCAGATGGGATAAATCAATATTAAGTAAATTTTTTTTTTTTTTTTGGTTACTATCCCTTCTGTTGTCTATGATACATACATTTACATATGTTGTAAAGGGTAAAATAAACTCGAGCTTCACATCGTTTAAATACAATAACAAACACCAACTTATAAGGACATTGGGCAATTTCACCAATAAGTTGACCTTTCAAGATAGTAGCCTAAATTATTAAAAAGTGTACATTCTATCATGATATCAGAACCAACCAACTCAAATGAGTAGTTTGATGGTAACTCTAAAAAAGCATCATCTTGACAAGCGAGTAAAATAAACATGAGACCAACATTGTTTAAACATAACAATAAACACCAACTCATAAAGACATTGGACAATTCCGCTTAACAAGTTGACCTTTTAAGATTGAAGCTCAAGTCCTTACAGTGTATGTATGCACATTCACAATGACCTTTTAAAAGGTCCTTGAAATGTGTGTGTACTACACACAAGTCTTTAAAACAAGAACCTTCTCCGGTACGTTAAAATACAGTTAGGTTAAGTTTTTTATCTGTCGGATTTACATAAAATCACATAAAAGTTAAAAAGTACGCAGAATTAATAGTTAAAAACTATGGTATACCAGTACGCTAGGCGTACGAAGAAACTTCCTAAAAACAATTTAAGGACTTAACAAGTCTTTTTTTTTCTAATTATAGTTCACAACTCTTTAAAGCTTCATTCATTTCACTGATTTGAGTTTTCAATTTTAATTTTATTATAGTTAAAAGCTCTAATAAAAAATTATATCTAACTTTTTTTATTACAGTAAAAAATTCTCATATAAAATTACATCTTAACTTAAATTAAAAAGTTAAATCAATGAACCGAATAAGGTCTAAAATGACCTTTTTAACATATTGGCCTTTAAAAAAGTCCAAATTCATTCATGTATGTACGTACGTACATTTTGCTGAGTCTAAGTGACATACAGGCTGTAATTTCTGATTGAAAAAAAAAAAAAAAAAAACAAACAAACAAACTTTGAGCTTTGTGTATCTTGAGAAATAAGAACAACCCAAGAATTCAAAGAGAAATGCTAATTGGGATTTTAATTTAAGAGTTTATTATGTGACTTCTTCTTACAGTAAACAACAATCAAAACCCAGAATCTGAAAGTGAAGATTATTATGAGAATTAAGGGAATAAAAAAAACCGAAAGAAGAAAGAGTTTAAAGAGTATATTAACTGAGGCTACGAACAGAGGCTTTGACGGTGTAACCTCTTTGAAGCAAGAGCTTGACCAGCCATGAAGCTATGTATCCTGAACCTCCTGTCACACACACCACCCTTCCTTCTCCGCTCATTTTCAATTCTTCGTTGCTCATCAGATATGGCTTTTTTTTTTTTTTTTTTTGGTTTTCATATATAATTCAGCATAAGAATTGTACAGGACACTTTACATAAATATCAGGAGTTTCAGAATAGTTTACACCACAATCATATACTCAAAAATCATAAAATTTATAAAAATTACAGGTGTATACATGAAAAATAGTGCACGTTTGATTTATAAAGTTAAAATTATAATTTAAAATTATTCTCAATTTATGTGTATTTTTTATAAAAAATATTGTAATGAATTATAAACTATAATTTAAATTATGTATGATACGAATACACTAACTAAACGCATTAAAAAATTCTCATAAAATTTAAAAATATTAAATAAAATATACAAAAATTCAAATAATTTTACTTAGCATATAAAACTTACATAATATCACTATAACATACTTTGTACTAGTTTTAATATTCATAAAATTCATGACATATTATAAAATTATGACCTATTACTTAAATATCTCAATTTTACAAGCTATAGATGTGATTGGGACTGGTCGCCAGTTGAGAAATGAATGGACTGGTCCTCATTAAATCTTAACCTTTCATTTTTTTCCTTTTTAAGACAGGAAGATAAAAAAGGCATAAAATATCCATAAATAATGAATGGGCTGGTCCCCATAATTAGCGAATTTTGTCGCCTATAGAGCGGGTGGTCCAACGAAGTTAATATATTCCAAAAGATTGAATTAATATTTGGAAAAAGTGAAGCACTTTTTTAATTTTTATACTTCAATTTGGTCGTTTAATGTCTCCTTTTAGAAGTACTAATTACAAAATGAAATTAATTAGTTGTGAAATTTTTATACAGATCATGAATAACGTCCACTAATCTATTTTAATTTCTTTTTTCTTGATTATGTCAATCTGGATTTGGTTAAGTAAATCATAGACCACCTAATTACTGACAGTTGAAAATTAGAGCAAATGTACCTCTCTATTGCAAAGGAGGCGGGCAAATTCAGATGATGAAAAAAAATGTCTAGCCCATAGAATAAGTTGCAACGATTTCTAGTAATACAAGTTGGAAACACATAAACACAGAAGAAACGAACTTTTTGTCTCACTAGAAAGACTCTGACTTGTATTCATTATATAAATATATATATGGACTAGTTGAAAAATATATATATGTTACGTTCTGTAATTATCATGTTATGTTTTTATAACCACATATTATGTTAGAGGGACAGTTCCTCTGGAGAGATTGACAAAACGCCTATATAAATACTACTCATCAAAAAGAAGAATTGGTGACTCAAATTTGTTGATTTTTTATGACCAAATTTTCTAAATTTCTTGACAGAAATTATTTGATTTGTTATTACAAATTTCTTCCTATTACATGCCTGATGAGTTAGGAGATAATCAAGTTATCTTTGGAGATTTAGTGTATATATATGATGGCATACACTAGGGGAAAAGATATTAATGGCGAATAATGCATTTTTGCTATGCTACTAATACTTATACTTATTTGGTATTCTGCTTCCCCATCTGGCTGAGGAAGAATTACGAGACCTAAAAATAGAAGAATATATATATATATATTGATGAAAGTATATTATATTTAAAGTTTACACCATTAAAGATAAGAAATAAAACGTTAACCTGCCCTTGTCCTGTTGCCAGGCTTGCACCAGCCCTTGCCCAGGGCTGCTCTTAGGCGTTTTCACCCCGTTTCGGGTGGTGGTTTGCGTGGGTCCTTGTCTTTGTCTGTGGCTCATCCCGATAGTTTCCAAAACTCCAAATTTTTTTCCTTATTTTCAATTAATTTCTAATTTATTAATGATTCCTAAAAAACAGATCAAACTAATAAAAATACTTGAACACTCATAAATATTTGAACTTAAAGGTACTTGATTTGTTTGTAAATAACCTCCTCATCCCTAATTAGGGGTAAGCAGATTTGAATATCATGTTCTAACACAACAAACAAACATGTTCTTTTCACAATTTGAATTACAACTCAAACTTTTTACTATATTATATTATTTCACAAAAATTCAAATTCTATTCTTTTGGTATATTGTTTTCTCCCACATAAAATTCATTTTACAACTCAAGTTGAGTAAAACAAACATGCCCAAAGTTTAACAAATTTTACAGAAGATGTAACTCTTTTATTTTTTATATTGGGAAGATTACATAAGGTATAACTTATTTACCAAATTTTCCGTCAAGGGCATAAATTAAAAGCTGAGAAAACCCTTCTCCTTGAGGCTTTCAACAGTGTCCCTCAGACTCACTTCCAAAGGGGTGAAATTAATTGCCAAACCTTTCGCTTTCTCCTTCGAAATTTGGTAGGTTGGCATGAGAGGTTTGTCATCTTCACATCTGCTTGCCAACAATGAGAAAGCTCAAATGTAATTTTTATATATGATTAGTAAACTTCACTTTTTAAAGATATAATAATATCCAAGCTAAAATAGTAAGAGTTCGAATCCATTTCGAGCTTCTCTTGCCAATTAAACCGAAACTTGGCTTTTCTTTAATAACTCAGGGGTTGGTTACTTACTTTTCAGGAATGCTTAGGGTGGGGAAGAGTCGTCTTAAAATGTTAATAACCTCAGAAACGTGCAAAACATGTCCAACTAAACAATATCTTCCACCAGCTGAAACGACTTCAAATGCTTGAATATGTGCCATTCCAACATCTCTAATATCAACAATCATAGAGATTTCATTTGGGAATGTGTGAGCTGCACCCAAAAAAAAAAAAAAAAAATTACACATGCATAGATAAATTGTCCTGTATTGACACCAGTTTCTATAGTTGTTGAAAAAACAGTGAAAATGGAAAGTTATTGCAGAAAGGGAAGCAATTTCCACTTCACTCTATCTAATTTGGAGCTTAGTTATTATGATTTTTTTTATTTTTATTTTTTTTTGCTATAGAATTAGTTTAGTCACTTTGAAACAAACTACGTCGGTTCTTTATATCTTAAACTTGGTCATAAATATTAAAAGGAGGAGGTACTGAAGATGTACCGTTAATTTGAGTTAGAATCGTCCCCGCACCGTAATTAAGAGTTGGCTGTAACAAAGGGCCAATAACCGTTCCTGGATTTATTACAACCAAATCAATCCCATTTTCTTTTGCAAATTTCCAAGCAGCCTCCTCTGCTAATGTCTTTGAGATAACATACGGCCAAATCTGTAAGCAAGAAAATTGGTGCAATGTTATGCAAATTACCATATAGTAAACTCAACACTGACAAATAACTAAGAAGTTTCCAATACATAGGAAACTTGTGCAAGATGATGTACACACCTTTACTTTCTCACAGAAATCTGGATCAGAAAACCATGTCTCGTCAACAACAACATCTGGGATCAATGGTTTCCCGCTAAGCAAAACAGCAGCCATGGAAGATGTTAAAACAACCTTCTTTAGTGAAGGAGCCTTTGTGCATGAACTCAGGACATTTAGTGTTCCCTTCACTGCAGGGTCAATCAATTCTGCCTGAAATACGGTGAGAAAAGTGATAAAAAAATCGAAGCTTGCGTATAAGTTTCCATGAAAGTAGACATTTATTTTCAATGGTACATGTTATCCAATTATGAATTGAATCAGGGACTAACCTGTGGGTCAGTGGGTGAGAGATTAACAGGGGAAGCTGTATGGAAAACACATTCACAGCCATCAACAACAGAATCAAAGGATCCTTCTTCCAATAAATTTGCTTTATACAAATGAAGCCTTTCCTTTGCTCCCTCAAGTGACACCAAGTGCTCTGTTTTCTTCGGATCGTCTGTGTCATACATAATCATAACAACCACACATATATACATGATAACCCATGTAGGATTAAAAAAAAAAAAACACTTTATCGCCCGTAATACGTCCCACACGTACTTTGTTACTTTGAAAATGTCAGAGGCCACCAACAAAACAGAAACTACCTAACTCAGTTCTATAGATAAAACAATCCTAGTCCAAGTCAGGGCTTCTACCCTAGTAAATCCACTATTCAGAATAGTTACACCCTCAGAGATCACAACAAGAAAATCTCTCAGCTCACAAGTATAAGATTTTCTCAGGAACCAAACACAGGTTCTCAATCACACAGAAAACCTTTCTCAGCCTTTTTCTTCTCTCTCTGGCGTAACCTTTTTCTATTCTCTCAATATACCAGAATTTGAAAGTGAAGACTATACGTAGAAAAGCTAAAGAAGAAAGAGTTTAAAGAGTATTAACTGAGGTCGCGAACGGAGGCTTTGACGGTGTAGCCGCGTTGAAGCAAAAGCTTGAGCAGCCATGAAGCTATGTAACCGGATGCTCCTGTTACACACACCACCTTCCCTGCTCCACTCATCCTTAGCTGCCCAGACTTTGTGGCAGTTACGTAATTATTTCGAGGTGAGGAACACGTTCAAATATGTGTAGAGTTTTATAATATCAACTTGTGTCCACTTCTATTGTCGTTTATGCTTTATTGGCTTCCGTTTACTCTATCCTGTTTTAGCCTCTCGGTTTTCTGAATTTCAGACGCTGTTTTCACGTTATTGTCCTTATTTTTCTTCTCCATCATTATTTTTGTTCTCATTTACGATTTACGTGTGTGTGTTTATATATATATATATATATATATATATATAATATGTTTTCACATTACTGCCCTTATTTTACTTCTCTATTATTATTTATGTTCTCAATTCAATACCATTGAAAATTGTAAAAAAAAAAGAATTTCTATACCTCCACTAATAAATAAATAATTGCTATTTAATTTATTAAAATAAAAAGAACACTGAGAATACTTTCCAAAACAAATACAAGCACCGGTAGGGGGCTGGTACCACCGTACCAGTAAATTGGCTCTCATTCTTAAATTAGTAAACACACGGAAAAAAACTCGATAGAATTTCAGTATTGTGCATTTTTTACTTAATTTGGCCTCTCAATCCAAGCAAACTTTTTTGTTTTTTAAAAAAGGTCTCTATTTTCGGGCCGGATTGAGCTTAAATGTCCCCTTAATAAGATGGAGAAAATTGGTGAATTCACCGTTCAAATGCATTGTTTTAAATTTTTTACGTTTTACTATTGATTAATACTTTTTTGATTTGTATAGCTCTTTTTTTTTATTTGATAAGTGATTAGTATAGTTCTGTGACTAAAGGATATTAATCAAGAGTAAGAGGTGAAAATCTAAGACTGCATTCTAAGGGATATTTGTCTCATTTTCTCCTATTAATGTGTCCTCCTTCGTGTCCTCCAATAAGATTAAGTCATGCCAGTTAAAATTATTTTAACTGTCATGACTTTTTAATTGACACAATAAAAAATGTTAATTGACGTGTCATGTTATTATTAGAGTGACATAAAAAGGGATACAAATAAGGGAGCGCAGCAGATTCCTTTTAAGCCATTGTAAACCTACTAGTAAGAATGATGCAGTTGATCACCTTTGGGGTTAACGGGGGAATTTCATTCCCTCCTGGACGACGTGTTTATTGAATGGACTATCATTTATAGGAGAGTGATTTTTGGATAATAGTCTTGTCTACTTCATGAGGTTCCTACAGAGTAAAAATGTGTGGCGTTGATTGGGGAATCTCATCACCTTTCACGAATTAATTGAGAGCGGGCTTGGACTCGTTATGCAAAGATATGATGTTGCCGGACTCGTTTTGTTCAAATTTGTTGTGCTGATATGCGTTTAAGCATGAAAATGTTGTGCTTAGACAAGGAAAAGAATGTGCTCGACACATTGTGCTCGGATGGATTGTGCTAGTATGCTTGCTTGGGAAGAGCACGCGCTTGAGAAGACCATACCGGCTTTGTACATGTTCGAGGGGAGCTCGTTTTCAGCGTGTTTGACCGAGTTTTGTCATGCAACTAGGCTCATTTGGAAGACATGAGAAAAATCCCCTGATGCATGCTAAATCAGGAAAACAAGGGCATTCCTTTTGTGAAAATAGGCCTTACATATATGTTCTGGCATGGATCGAAAAGCAGTCAGTCTAATTTGTTTATAATTGGAAATTTTTTTATAATTTCTTTTTATCTACTTAAGCTTGTATTGTAGTAATTACTTCTGCTGATCGCATAGTTCCCAATAACAATGTACACAATATTGTTAAAGAAAACCCTTATCCTTTAAGCTTTCAACAGTGTCTTTCAGACTCACTTCCAAAGGAGTGAAGCTAATTCCCAAAGATCTTGCTCTCTCCTTTGATACTTGGTACTTCGGCACGAGAGGCTTGTCGTCTTCACATCTGCAAAACCAATGAAAAATACATTTATTCCCCAAAGATTTTTAGCATATATAAAAAGTCTTCTCTCACTTGTTGCTTCATAAAAGTAGAAAAACAGGACATTCTGTTTCATCTATATAATAATTTATAGTCAATATGAGCTTATTTCATATATGGTCCAAATAATATACCTTTATGAAGCAAAGTCAGAGCATTGTCGCATTGAGAAACATAAGGTTTGACAAATGAAAAGGCTTAAAAGCACTTGTTAGTTGAAAAGAGAACCTTCAGGCAAATTAATATGACTTCAAATAAAAGTTTGCCCCCTTCTTTTTTTTTCTTTCTAATTTTCCTCAAATTATGGGTTGCCTCTAAGTACAACGTTGAAAATGATAACCTACTTCTGAGGAAGGCTCAAAGCAGGGTAGAGCTCTTGTAAAATCTTCAAAACCTCCGACATGTGCTGAACATATCCAACTAGACAATATCTTCCATTAGCAGAAGCAACTTCAAATGCTTGAATGTGTGCAAAAGCAACATCTCTAACATCGACAAATCTACGAACTCTATTGGGAAATGTTTGAGGTCCTACACTCAAAAGGGAGGGAAAAACTGATTAGTACATCTCAAGCGCTTGAGTCAAAGTATGTTGCATTAAAACAATCCGAAAAATTAGCTTTTATCTGCCATGGATCATTTAAATCTTGATAAGCAACCTCCTTGGTCTTCTTCACAAGGCCATTTTCTCGTATAAAATGCCAAAAAGGTCATTCAGAAAAAAGAAAGTTGGAAACCATGTGGATCTAGAATTAATTAGAAGAATTTTTTTTTATTCATTTATCTGTTTTTTTCAAACATAGGATACAGGATTTACCGCTAGGTTATACCTACAAGTTACTCGTGATATTGTACATTTACATACACATTGTGTTGTGTACATATCATACCATTTATGTTGCTCAGAATCAGCTCCACACTGCCATTAAGAGTTGGTTGTAAGAGAGGACCAACAACAATTCCCGGATGTAAAGTGACCAAATCTATACCATTTTCCTTTGCAAATTTCCAAGCAGAATCCTCAGCTAGAGTTTTTGAAAGTGGATACCAAAGCTGGAAAAAAGGAAATAAATAAGAAAGAGTCCAAAACAATCTATAGCAATAACTGGGTTTACAATACTTATTGCAGCTTAAATAGATTTTTAAGTAAAGTATAAATGTATGATACCAACATGACTATATATAGAAACCAAAAATGTGAACCAATTTGATGATTCAACCACAGTATTTACACCGACGCCAAATTTAAAGCCCGAGGCATATAAGAAATATGAGATACCCCTACTTTGTCTCTTTTAACACCCAACTAATGAAAAAAAAAAAACTAAAACTGAAAGAAACTGATAGATCATAATTAAGTTTGATAAACTAGACCAGATTAAAGAAGAGTCGAAGGGATAGAAAAATGAATCACTAAGCGCGTGAACATAAAATCATCACATACAAACCTTCAAATTCTCGCAATAAACAGGATCCGAAAACCACGTCTCGTCAACTGCCACATCAGGGGTTAGAGGTTTTCCATTTTCTACAACTGAAGCCGTGGAAGATGTCACAACCACTCTCTTCACAGATTGAACTTTTGCGCATGACCGGAGAACATTAAGTGTTCCCTTCACTGCTGGGTCAATTATTTCTGCCTGGAATATTGGAAAACTTGAGAAGAAACATGACAAGTTTCTATATATGAAACCATTCAATATAAGGTAATTAATGTATGGGAAAAATCTATGTGTACCTGTGGATCAGACGCTGAAAATATTGTAGGTGATGCTGTGTGGAAAACACCTTCACAACCATGAAATGAAGAGTCAAAAGATCCTTCTTCCAAAAGATTTGCTTTAAATAAGTGAAGCCTTTCTTTAGCTCCATCGAGTGAGAGCAAGTGTTCTGTTTTCTTCGGATCATCTGCACCATATGATATAAACACATCAAAGGCTCGGAGATATTGATAATAGAAAATAAGTTGAATTCTTTAGTCGAGTGCGAAACTAAGTTGATAATAACTGTTAGTTTTGCTTGTTCTTTCATTCTCACATATAATTTCTCGTTCAGAAGTATGCACTAAGATATTCTCTATGACCCCAGAAAACAAATGTTAAATATCAAAATATATATATTTATATCACATATATATATATATATATATATTCTTATATATATAAATATATGTATAAGAAATAGAGAAGAATCACTAACTTGTGTCACGAACAGAGGCTTTGACGATGTAACCTCGTTGAAGCAAGAGCTTGATCAGCCATGAAGCTATGTAACCTGAAGCTCCTGTTACACACACTGCTTTCCCTTCTCCACTCATCATCTCTCTCTCTCTCTAAAAGTTCAACCTAAATGGTAACGCTGGAGTGAAACGACACCGTTAGAGGAACGACATTTTTACAAACAGGAAATGGCGAAAAAGGCGCCCTTGAGTGAAAACGACGTCTCGTACATAAGTAACGTTGCAGAAAGAGAAAAACCACGTCGTAGGAGAAAAACCACGTCGTAGGAGAAAGAGAAAAACCACGTCGTAGAAGTATATAGAGAAACGGCATTGTGATTGAACGACACATCCTTACATAGTATCCTACCAAACGACACTTTGGGATAACCATAGTTATGTAAACTGCATGTCGCTTCCAATGACATCCTTAGCAAACGCCACTCATTGGTTCTGTCTTTGTTCAATAGTTAACCAAGAAGAACATTCTTAACAATGCTCTGATAGGAAAAGCAACGGGTTTAGAGAGAGAGAGAGATAGGAATAGCAGCGGGTTTAGAGAGAGAGAGAGAGAGAGGAGCTGCAATATTAGAATTTCGGACATTAGGGGGAAAAGCTGCAATAATTTTGGGTTTTAGCGCTCGTTGGTGTTCTTTAGATGTATCTTTCTTGTGGAAATATCAATTAAGTTCTCTCATATTCTTATCAATATTCTTATTTAATCCGTATACTCATAAATTCATTAAATTTAGCTATTAAATTAGAACTTAAATGTCGATCGCCTCCTGACCTCACAACAATCGAAGTCTTTGTTGATAATTATGTTGGATCTTTCAATCCTAGTTTCACATTTCAGAAATCATCACACTAAATTATTAAGAAAATAAGTTAGAACAAGTACCTGTCTCCATTAGTGCAGCCTTAATCTCCAGTAGAATTCTCTAAGACAACGAGCACGACGGTTATTGCCTTCCTCAGTCAAATCTCCGTAGCTCCTTAATGTGGTGTTTTCTCTCTAGATGGGAAAGAATGAAAAATGCTGTATGATTTGACGTATTGGGGACCATAACCTAAGTTTCTTTATATACTGCCACATTAGGCTCCCATTAAACCTAATTGGGTCAATATGGGTATCCACCCATTCAGCCAATACCTTGTTAGGAAACTAGTTGGCCTTTTCATAATTAGATCACTTAAATTTGCTCAAATAATTAAATAGCTTAATATAATTATTGAATAAATATGTGGCCCACAATATAGGAAACTCGCGTGGTTCACTTACTGTTTTGGCATCTAGTAAAATCAGAATCAGAATACCCGATGATCTTTAGTCTGTCTGATCTCCGATAAGTGAGCATGTAATCCTTTGTTCTCTTTGTATAGCGCATAACCCTTTTGGCTGCTTTCCAATGATCCACTCCTGGGTTACTTAAGTATCTGCCCAATACTCTCACTATAAATGCTATGTCGGGACGAGTGCAAACTTGAGCATACATTAGACTTTCTATTGCTGATGCATAATGAATCTTTTCTATTTCCTTTATCTCAAGTTCATTCTTGGGTGTGACGAACCTAACTTTTGATCATCATCGTATGCTCATACTTAACATTTCTTAATCTCTACCATTTACTAGTTATAACTTCTTAAAATTTCAGGTCATTTTTTTTTACCATGTACGTTAAAATGTTGTAGCATTTAGCTAGCATTCTGTTTTCAGCCATTCCTAAAATGTTGTAGCATTCTGACAGCATTCTGTTACATTAGTCATCAAAATACATAAAACACTATTTTATTTTACATAAAAAGTTCAGCAGCGTTTCTAACACATTCCACTGCTACATCCTCTCTGCATGCCCAGCATCAAGTTTCAGGGAGCCGGTGCCTTACCTGTGCTTCCTACAACACGAACAAACTTAATGAGCTTTCGCTCAGCAAGTATCAATATGTCATAAACAGATGCATTAATTATGCATACCCACATATGCATTCATGTCATATTTCCTAGTACAAAATTCTAAACGACTTTCATTTGTTTTTCTCACTCTTGTCGTTCTTGTTTACGGATACCATACCGTTATATGGAATGATTTTCGTGTTTCATTTTTTTGTTTTTTACTTCTTATGGGCCCTGTCTTGTTATACCATGGCGCACATAACCAGTGAGGAGTGGGGTAGCTAACCAATCAACCTCAGTCACGGTTTTATTTCTTTCATAGTCTCATAATAACCTTTCCTTCGAAGGCTGGTACAAACATGACGTTTAGTCTCTTACCGTTTATCAATTTTCTCATTGAAACGGTAACTTTAGTTAAATCTTATGAATTTGTGCATTTTTGAACAATTTAACATGAGATTAACTTTTTTGTTAAAGTTTAACTCTTTCTCGTAACTTGACATTAACTTATCATCGATACATACTTAACATTATATCTATCTAACATTCAAAATTCCATAATATGCACAATTTTTGTGCAACATAGAAAAGTAAACTTGCTCGTGATATAGCCACAGAAAAACTATTGTACTTACAGAAGTTTCGCTAACAATGCGTCCTTTGTCTCCCTTGTTGCTATCCGACTTCAACCGTTAATCGGCCCTATTGCATAAATTTTTTGATCGTTAGATTCAAAATCTAAGATCAATAATTACATTGAAATTTGCATCGGAAAGATCTACAATCCTTATGTTTGGTATTCAACCTCACTATTTCCTATCTCAAGGATTTGCACTAAAACCGTGCAAATTACTCAGTCATGGGCCTAATTTTCAGTTTCGGTCTAAAACTATGAATTCTCGTTGTGTTCGATTTCTAACCATCACTGATTAATGAAACATCTTTTTTTTCACACTTTAATCTCATATTCCTCTTGAAATCCAGTTTTAGTTCAAATTACTCAAGCTAAATTTCGGTAGAATTTTGCCTTGTTTTTCTCGTTTTCTGAGTTTTCAATAACTCGTTTTAATTCTGATTTCGGTACCTGGAGTCAAGATTCGCATTCCTGAACACATATTCTAACATAAAATTGAACAAAAACACATGTTCTTTCTTAATCTAGGCTCACGGATTTTCAATGAGAATCTACCAAAACTTCGTTCAATCGTTTTAATACTTACACCATTAAACTCTTATTACGATGTTCTACAAAACCTCAGTTTCGATTTTTACTTTAACGGAAGTTTTTCGAGATGGATTACTATTCATCCAAATCAAGAAATCATAGAATTCTCATGAAAAGTCTGAAATGTTACCTCCAGAAATTGAGGTTTTCCGCTAGAACACCTCGGGTTACATTTCTACTAGACTGAACGGAAGAAATTTCGGTGAGAATGCTTGATTTCTTCGATTTCTCTTACTCTGTCTCTCTCTAACAATTTTTTTTTTCCAGAACTCTCTCACGTTTTTTTTTTCCTTCTCTGCTATGCCTCCCGTTGGCATTAGCTACAAAGTGTTATTTGTGTGTAATGAAGTATATAATTAAACGTCAAGTGAGTTACCAAGTACTGTCTCACGTAATGCTTTACGTGGTATGCTAGCTACAAAGTAATGCCAAGTCTTTTCCTGCATGTAATGCTCATGTCCACCTCATGGTAATTGTTCTCTTTCTCTTTTTTTTTTACAAACTTATATCCACTTCACGGTAATAACGTGAGTCACCAATTTACATATAATCTTGCGTGTATATATATATATATATTCTTTTTTTTAAACGTACTTAGAAATAATCTTATATATATATTATAACTTGGTTCAACCTGCTTTTATTCTTTGCCATAATAAAGATACGTGCTAGTAAATGAGTGGGTTCTATACTCCTCAAATTTTTTTTATTGTCGAGACCTAACTTTCCGTTTCTTAAAACGAGTCTCTTTCCGGTACTAACAATTTCACTATTCATAACTGATATTTACGAATTTTCTTTATAAAAATATTTGTATTATAACTTTACACTTTTTGGGAGATTTTACCCAGTACATAAAGTTTCTACATAACATTTCCTTGATTAAGCTGAAAATTCTACTACTTTCTGTTCCGGAAGAAATTATGGTCAAATACCGAACTATCCGGATTAGACCTAAAATTTTTCCGGTCGTTACATTGGGGCACTGACTGAGACTAAACTTGTCTCCCTTAGCTACGGGCGTATCTCCTGATGAACAATTCTTCATGCCAAATCTATCCAGAACCTTTTCGATATAGCTCTTTTGTGATAACCCAAGGATACCTTGAGAGCGATCTCGTAGTATCTGAATTCCTAATACAAAAGTGGCGTTACCAAGATCTTTCATCTCAAAATTCTTAGTAAGAAATTTCTTAGTTTCGTGCAATAAGCCTATATCGCTACTGGCAAGTAATATGTCATTGACATACAAAATTAGGAAGATGAATTTATTCCTACTGAACTTGTGATATACACAATCATCGACCACATTCACCTCAAAACCATAGGAAGTGATAACTTGATAAAATTTGTGATACTATAGACAGGAAGCCTGTTTGAGACCATAGATGGACTTCTTTAACTTGCAAACCATAGACTTTGAATCTCCAGATACAAAGTTTTCTGGTTGGACCATATACATTGTCTCCTCAATGTCGCCATTGAGAAACGATGTCTTAACGTCCATCTGATGTAGCTCTAAGTCTAAATGAGCCATAAGTGCCATAACTATCCTAAAAGAGTCTTTCAAAGAAACCGAAGAGAAAGTCTCTTTGTAGTCTATGCCTTCCTTCTGAGTGAATCCTTTGGCGACTAGACGAGCCTTATATCTTTCGATGTTACCTTTTGAATCCCTTTTGGTCTTAAATATCCATTTATAACCTATGGGTTTCATTCTTTTAGGCAACTTGACAAGATCCCAAACGTCATTGTCTTTCATAGATTTCATCTCATCCTTCATGGCATCAATCCACTTTTGAGCATTAGAACTCTATAAGGCTTGTTGAAAGTTGATTAGATCATCTTCCCCTAAACCTACACCATCTATTGGGAATGGTGTCCTAGAAGCATAAGATGTAATAGGATATTTATTATATTTTTAATAAAAGAGTTTATTCATCATTTTATGTGTATATATTTGTGAATATTTTATGAATATCAAT